TTTATATATATATAAAAATGTCTCATAATTTGTGCAAAAGGCTGTATTCATGTTAGGTTTCTATTTATGTATATTCACAATAATAATGCAACAGGCTTTGAAATATAAAGTACATATTTAATGCGTGTAACAGTAAAAAAAAATGCCTATTTAAAGAACAATTCTAATAGGGTGAATGCACTAAAAACTGTGAAACAAAAATAGTAAAAAGTAGGTGCTAAATTATACTAATTCCTTTGTTTTCTATTGTCTCATTAATAATAATAATTGCTTCACAGATATAGTGTGTACTTCACTCTATTMAAGACTGAATTGCACAGATCAAATTGAAATAATGGGATTCTGAAAATTGCACAAAAATCCACATACGGTCCACATTTGATTAACTAGTCCAAAGTTACTAATAGGAACAGGTCCTTTCCATATTAAAAAAWTCTTGATCTTGTTTATAGCTCGTTCTATGTGGATTCTTAGACTCGCAATCTCCTGAGTTTTTAACACCTCTTCAGGAGACATTTGTTGATCAGAGCCGAGGAATGGAGGAATGTTGATTTCTACTCCAAGAGGTAGCAAGTTTCCCACAGTAAACCCTTTATCTGCCATGATAGAGTCTCCTTGSTTGAACTCTAAATCTAAAAATCCACTACGGGTAACAATCTCTACATCAGAGATACTGCCTGTGTATAGCTGGCTAATGAAGGTTATAGAGCCATCTGGAGAAATCCCTACAAGCCCTTTTAGTGTCACACGGTGTTTGTAACTACTAAACAGCTCACTGTTGAGTAATAAGCTGCTGGGCATTTCACACTGTATTTCAGTGCAGTCTATAATAACTCGGGTAGATGGATATTTGGCCTTAAAATCCTCTGGCATATCTTCATCTACTGCTGCTCGTGATGGCCAAATGTTWACTGCTCCACACTTTAAAAACATGTGATTTATCCAAGCAATCAACAAACGGCTAATATGTGACTGTGATACTCCATACAAATTGGCTAAGTGACGTTCTGAAAATCCTCTTCTAAGTCTACACATAACGATGAAAAATTCTTCATTAGGTTTAAGCTTCCTCGGGCRACCTCTTTTGGCAAGTCCTACGTTCTCTGATTCACARTCTTCGTCATCGTCAGCTTCTTCTTCATCATCATAAAATCCATCTTCCACGTCTCTCTTCCAATACCTTATGTTYTCTCCATGTACACCTGGATTTARAAACTCCAAAACTGCTTYGTAAGTTTCATAGTTAGGAAATCCTGTGTAGAAATTTATCTCATTGTCGACCGAACTGAATCGTTCTAATGTGAATATTTTCGTATCGTGTATGTTCTGTAAGTCTTTCAAAGCTTTATTTAATCGAGTGTTTTCGTTTTCAAGTTCGCTATTTCTCTTTCTACAATTGTCAAGTTGGATTCGTAAATCCTCCAACGATTTCCTCAATTCTAGCAGTTCCTCAGTTGTGTTATGTTCTGGAGGAGCTGGAGGGTTTTCTTCGTCGAATTTGACCGTTTGCTCGACAATTGAACATTCGCTTTCGCTGTCATCAGTATCGAGCTTTTTACTTGTTGTACAGGTGGTTGTAGGCAGCGGATTTCGAGCCTTTGGTGATTTTCGACTTTTMTTACAGACACTCCATGCAAACACCGAAGGGACAGCTCCTTTTACCGGATAAATACGTCCATTTAGCGATTTGTGTAGGTCTAAACTATTGAAATGAAGAGAGCATATCTTCGTTCGCTCGTTGAGCTTAAAGTCTTTCCCTACGTCTCTTCTTATTGCGATTATCCACTTTTTACACATTTCTTGATCCTTTGGGAAGTTGAAGAATGAAACTGGGTTTCCGTTGCGTTTGTATCCCTTCTGTGAGCACTTAGGAACACAACAAAAAGAAGGCATTTTCTCGACTCATATACGGTATACACAAACAACAACGACTTGAAGCATCAATGGTGGACTGACTAGTCTCGTTTTCGTGTATCTCGACCCAAGCCCCGCGCGGTGACGGCCATTATTGCATTCGGCGTATTGAACATTTTGTTGAGTCCATTGTACATCCTAATAATCCAAAACACAGATAATATGAATAGATTTTTATTTTCAACACTTACAAATGTTTTATATTTTCGCCGGCTCGCGATGCGTCCGTCCACTGCTCACGCAAATATTTATGNAGCCTCCACTTTGTTGCAGTAGCATACACACTATCGACTAGTGCTCTTTTCACTTCCATCCCAAATTTCTAGTCTAGTCTTCCATTTGCTCATCAGCTGGTTAAGTAGCCCTATAACACTTTTCGGTATCCCAATCCACTCATACACCCTTATCATCCAATCATGATGAACCTTGTCATATGCCTTCTTATAGTCGTAAAACGCTACTGCCAAATTTCGCTGATACTGTTTAACTTCTCCCATTATACATCTATCTATTATTAACTGATCAACCGTTCCCAATACTCTTTCTATTGCTCCCAACTGGCCTTCATCCCAAATTAGGTTCTCTGTAGCGTGTTTTTTCATAAATTTTGCAATTAGCCCTCTCAAAACCTTATAAGATGTATTCAAGCAGGTGATTGGGCGGTAATTTTTCTCATCAGAAATGTCTTTTGTTTTGGGCAATAAAACAGTTCTCCCCGTCGGCCACCACAATGGGATCAGGTCACTATTTGCACACAAGCACCTCAACTTCTTTCTTGTGTGTCTATTTCAACAATTCTGTGTTTCTGTCCGTCAGTCCACTCACGGTTATTCATTATATGAACTGTGTCGTTCGTCACATGATTTGCTCTACTATCAGCACTTCCTTGTGGCACTGTAATATCAACAACATCGTACCTCACGCTCGGTTGAAATCGATCATTATCTAAGTCACCCATACAAATAAGGCCTTAATTTTGACAGAGTCGCCATTCCTATCAGGATTCCGCGATTGGAGACCTCATGACGCAGAAGCCATTCACCTGTATCAGCACGGTTATTTCAGGTTGCGGGTATAATTGATCATGTAACCTCCAGATGTAGATGATATACCAACCAAGGCTAAAGAGCATCACCAACCCCTCCATTTACCCCCCCCCCCCCCCATTAGTCGCCTCTTACGACACGCAGAGAGTTTGGCGTTGGCTGAATTCTAAACCCCAAACCACAGGGTTGGAATGGTCACTTTCTTGGAACCAGCCTTTGTATAAAATGTCTTGATGTTGTTTTGTAGTTAGGTCCCCGAGCCATTTCTGGTGTAGTTCTTCAGAGTTCTTTTCAGCTTTACTTAACGTATCTTTGATAGGCTTGCCAAGTTGACTTGTGTAATTTTACTTTCTATTGTTAACAGTGTTCCTGTTTCAGTAAAGGTGCATTGGATATTGCATTCTGGGGCATACTTTGTGGCTTGTTTAAATAAATACTCACTTTCGTCCCTCTTCGGCTTTGTCTTTTTCAAATGATCTTACAAGTTTGATTCTTGCATCTGCCGAGTTGTTGATATAATTTTCAACTTTGATAGTTATCACCTGGAATATGCTTTCTACACTTTTTAGACCGCTTTCTCCTAGGCTGCTTTGGGAGGTACAGCAGTTTTGTAGATTCGCTCTTGTGCATCCCATTGTTCTCTGATTATTTCTCTGGTTTATCTATCAAGAGTTTTCAAGCCATCGATGGTTCAATCTCCTGTCCACATTTGAGATTGAAGGACTTGTAAAGCAAAAGTGTTGGTGCCTCTGATTTTCCAAGGTATAGATAGATTGCTGGTCCAGATAACAGATAACCTTTTCAGGTATTCTCTGCTTGCTTCCTCGTAAACCTGATATTCGAGTTGCTTGGAGTTCTTGAATTTCACAAGGTRTCAGTTTCATCCAGTATTTTAAGCTTTTCACTTATTGAAAGGTTTATGTCATGAGTGTGCTGGAGTTTCCCCCTGTCTATGTCAACACCCGCGCACTTATCCATTCCCCACATCAGACCTCTTTGTGGTAAGGAGGTGGAGTCTGTGGGACATCTGGCGAGTGGTTGTAGTGRGTTAGCTCAAAAGGAATACAAGAGGAGGCATGAATGGGATTGAGGGTGTATTGGGAATTGTGTAGGAAGTATGGAGTGAAGTGTGCTGATGTWTAGTATAAGGAAGTAAGCGATAAAGTAAGGGTGTCAGAGTATGGTCAGGTAGATTTGGTGGGACAGGGGCATCGAGACAACACAGAAGATGGAACATAATCGTCCAGATGTTACTGTGTTKAATCGGGCGGCTCAGGAGTGGACGTTTGTTGATWTCTCGGTGCYTTGGGACAAGAACGTGATGTTGAAGGAGAATGAAAAGGTTGCCAAGAATTCATCTCTGGCAAAGGAGATAAGGAAGATGCACCGGGTACCAACAAAGGTAGTTCCATTGGTTGTTGGTTGTCTTGGGGTTGTGACAAGTAGGTTTGTGGGACACCTAAAAGATTTAGGTATCCCAGATGTTCCGGATGGTATGCAGAAATCTGCAGTCATTTGGAACACCGTCATTTTACAAAAGGTGCTTAGCCTCTAAGCTCCTGGCTGGGGCCGAGGATAAGTTAAATTTACACCGGCAGTATGATTTATATCTCTACTCTGGTTGTCAGGTAAACAGAAATTCGTGATTATAATTATTATTACTATTATTATTATTATTAGTTCAGATATTAACGTTCAAAAATAAGTCAAGCAATACTGTCACGCCACTTGAATCACGCCAGAAAAACCCTCAAACAGGCTATTGATCTCTGCATCAAATATAATGTTTGCAATGATATTGTCGTAAAGGTAAAGAAAAATMATTAGTTTTGCTCTCAATTTGGGAGTTTCTGTTTGCCATGTTGGTGTACAGTTGGTGTACTAAATTATGATKGTTATAATTAATAGTTAATACCRATGTCCAGTTGTGGATTGACGAGTGCATCTTCTGACATTTATACAACAAAAGATAATCTCTGGAGAAGCTTTTCATTCTTCAATGGGATAAAAAAYGAGGTGGGAAGAGAAAGTTCTTGGTATTGCTCTTAAAGAATATAGGTCTGTAAGTAAATTTCGAATAGGTTACATTGGTTTGACAATTTGCTGAGGTCAGCCGGTTTCTTCTAAGCCTAGGAAAAGTCCAGCGACTAAATCCGTAAAAAAGAAGATAGAGCAATATGTTGCATCCAACTACATCCAAGGCAATAGCAATGATGTTGGGATGGCACCTCTCTCTGAAGTGCGAAAAGTAAAAGTATGGCACAAGACAAGTGAAAAAATAACCCCTTTTTTATTTAAGATATCAACAAGGATTGGGATTTGTGTGATGAAATAATTGACTCTCCTTCATCCCATAACTAAATGAGTT